CCCAGTCTATTTTAAGAGAATGGCAGCTGTTTCAATTTAACATATTAATAAAATTGCTGAAATCGTTAACTGGCTGCAACCCCCATGTTTGACAGACAGTAAAAGAGTACCAAATGTACCAAACATCTCTACATTAAAAGAGTACAATCAGTACAACATAGAAATGAAGCCTAATATTTTTCAAGACTGTGAGATCATTACAAATCTGTATTTTATTACCTCAAACACGATGATCTGTTGTTATTTCAATAAAAACACCGAGCATTGTCTCGGCCGACGTCGCACAGCCCTCGCGGCGAGCGAGCCGGCTCAATACTGTAGTATACTGAGTGCTCCCGGTAGTTTTGCAGAAGGATTCATGAAAAATAAATCCGAGCCGATGACTTTATTCTAACAGAAAAAGAACTGTTCTTTCGATTGGTACCTTTTTTAGCCGGTATTGTACTCATTTCGTGTTAAAAATGATCTTTGAAAACTTAGAACCTTTTTTCAAGGTTTTCTATCTAAACGCCAAAGACGAAAAATAATAACCACGGGAAACCTCGTTCAAAGCTGTATAGATCTAGTTCTCCGTCAATGAAAAGACTATAATATTATTTAATCATCAATCTTTCTGCAAAGCATTCGAATGCATGGGTGTCAATTTTGAACCGGGGGACCTCGCATTCCGACCGCGATGGGCTTCCCTTTCCACGGCGATTCTCAAGCTCCAAATACCCGGATATACAAACAACTTACACTATTATAACAAAGAAAATCTGAACTTTTTCAAAGTGTTCAGCATTAAAATTTGGTGTTTTATAGCAAAAGAGCATAGAAACAGAGATCTGAATATCCCCCATTTCATGGAAACCAGGCGCTCGGAAGGCTGCGAGTCGGCTTACGTACCGTATTTACGCTACCTGATTGTACATTTACAATAGCACCATAAATACACGAGAGCACACACACACACACACACACACACACACACACACACACACACACACACACACACACACATACACACACACACGTACACACACACCCGCGCGCGCGCACACGCACACACACATGCAAATACACCAACACACATGCACATAGACCGTCTCGGTGTCCTTTTGGTAAGGAGTCGGCTCTGAGAGATCTGTAGGAAGGCTAATTAATCTTTTAAAAGCTCTAAAAAGCAATAAAAACAAATTCTTTAAGTCAATCCAAGTGTAAAATTGA